GGACCGGGGTCACACAGTTCAGTACCTTGCTTAAGAGTGCTTTGACAGAGGCAGTATGCCATTCAACCTTTATTCTTACCCACATTGTCCCAGTAACTAATTCATGGATCTGAACTACTACCTCTGACCATCTGACCAACATCTGACAGAGCAAGCTTCATTACATTGCATATTATACAGAACTACACTTCTTATTGAATGGCCCTGTCACGGGTATGGACAGTAGAGGCAAGTCTCTATCAATATTTGTATTTAATCTCCACATTGTGTTACCGTTAAGGCCTCTACAAAGATACCTGATTTGTACGTTTCAAACCTGGATCTCCATTCTCAACAACACTTTGTCTGCTGTGGAAACCTTCAGGTTTTTGGGATCCACCATGTCTCCAATGTGATCTCAGCCCAGACTTTTGGCAGTAGGCGGCTAATGTTGTAACTGCGGCAGCTAATGTTTGTAAGATGTAGTTAATGTTGTGAAACAGTGGTGGTTACCTTGCAACATGGGGTTAATGTTGTCAAACGGTGAGAGTTAACGTTATAACACGTGGTTAGTGATGAGAAATGTGGCCGTTGACGTCGTAACACGTGGTTAATGATGAGAAATGTGGCCGTTAACGTTGTAACACGTGGTTAATGATTAGAAATGTGGCCGTTAACGTTGTAACACGCGGTTAATGATGAGAAATGTGGCCATTGACGTAACACGTGGTTAATGATGAGAAATGTGGCCGTTAACGTTGTAACACGTGGTTAATGATGAGAAATGTGGCCGTTGACGTCGTAACACGTGGTTAATGATGAGAAATGTGGCCGTTGACGTCGTAACACGTGGTTAATGATGAGAAATGTGGCCGTTAACGTTGTAACACGTGGTTAATGATGAGAAATGTGGCCGTTAACGTCGCAACAAATGGTATAGTTCACCTGACGGTTCTGATGGGCAGATTGGAGGTAAAGCTGTATGCAGTAGCGACTGTTCTTCTGCATCTTGTTGGATGATAATAGTTTGTTGAATCACATTCTTCCATCCATCGCTCACTCTGTGGTGGTTGATTTGGCTTCCTCTGGTGTCCTCGTCTCCATCTCTTTCTCAGTGGAATGAGGAATCATCAGTGAGAGACACAAAGGACAGGGAGAAACATCCCTCCCCCCATTAGGTGGTCTGAGCTGTGGTGGAGATAACAGTTGCAGGCGGAACAAACAACATCCAGTTTATATGGCAGGAAACAAAAATAATTGTAAACAACGTTGGTTATCGTTATTGTCCTCAGGATGTAAATGTCCGAGTCATTCCGAGTTTATTTTTTCATTATTATTTAAGCTGCACCAATCCATGTTTTTCTACTAACATTTTATCAAATGCCTGTGTAATGTGAAAGCTTTTTAGTATCTGTTAGCTTTCGGCTCTCATCACCTTGGTTTCCAGTAGCAGGCAGCTGTTTTCAACCAGAAAGCTTAATAATCCCACTGTACACTATGCCCATCCCCAAAGTGCAGACAGGCATACTTAGAGACTAGCATTTAGTAGCTTTTTCCCTCAGGATTTGGTGAAGACACCGCCAGACTTTAACTTCCATTCAAAAGTATTTAGGTTTAGAAAATATAACTCATTGGTTAGTAATTTCTATGGAATAAGGTGTCGAGAATAACGAGAAGTACTTTGGCATTGCCTTCTGAAAAGGGTAAGGTTTACCAGACCTATAATTATATTTCTGGGCTGCCCAGATTATTCCCCTATGTCATTGGTTTAATAGGGAACATCAGCCTGAATGGACCAAGATTGAAGGATATTTTCAAGAGACAAGACCTGTCCTACATCCCTTACTACTTCACGTCAAAACATATTTGGTCATTCACATCTAATCCCATTCTTAGTCGCTTAGTGAAGATTTGGGAGTATGTTCATACGAGTATGTTCTATGAGACAACTAATTTGCACAACTAATTTGCCTCTTCCTCAAAGCAGCCATCATGTTCAACAGCACTCTAACGCTGAGCCCATTCCTTTAGGGTGTGGTCGCAGATGGGTATAAAATAGATCTATACCAAGAGGACACACTGATGAGAGAAGGTTTTCAAATTCCAGCCACACACTTCCTTAGATATGTACAGGTATACATTTCACATTCCAGGCAGGGAGGCTCCCTGGATAGACCCAAGTACCCTAAGTAGTATTGGAGTCTTTATTGCTTCAGGACAATCTGAACAAAAATATCACAAATATATATTTTATTATTGGACTACTCTAAGACTTACACAATAGCACTGAAAGAGAAGTGGAAAGAGATCTGGAGATTCAGATAACAGATCTTCCCTCCCAAAGCTGTTACGGCTGGCAAAAGATGCATTACATCCACATGGAATTACGAGGAACCCCCAGTATTACTAAGCGGATTAGTGAGGTAATTCATGTGCTCCTTTGCCCTCGGTCTCTTCATAGGACTTTGGATCCAGGGCTTACTTACTAACTACTTTATTGTCTTTAGTATTATTATTTCATATTTCTTTGTAGTGGGTGAAATGTTGGAGGACCTGTCCCTGTATGGGGGGGGGGGGGGGGGGGAGAATGGTGTGGGTCTTTGTGTGAAACACAGGTTCCAATACTAATCAATATTCCTACTTTACTTTGTTCTTTCCTACAGGATATTATTGGGAGAAGATATCTGTTCTTTGTCCTCTGCAGGTAAGACAAAATAAACATCATGTTGTCATCCAGTGAAGATCATTCTATTCACAGCTTTCAGGGTGAACAAAATGAACGGATACGTGACACAATAAAGCGTCTTAACATGTCGCAGCAGCTGGAACAAGCCCCACTAGCCTGGAGGGGAAGGTATCCCCTTCACAATAAAACATGGAGTCTGTTGAAAGAGAGCCTCGTCTCTGACTAATGCCTCTGTTGTTAGGGAGTTCCTGTTTGCTGTGAGCCTGTCTGGCACGCCTGCAGCATTATGTCACACAAACAACCTTGTTAACAATTTTCATTTATTCTTGATTTATTATTGTCACTTATTTCAAATAATAACCAAAAATACAAAAAAAGAACTTGAACTGTTCTTTTACAAAAATAAATTACATACTATTCACTCTGAAAAAACCCATAGAACTTTACCCACATAGTGTACATTCCATTATACTAACCATCATTCTATTGTATACATCTAACTTCACATTTAAATTTTTTATGATGGTATATCGTATATATGATATATCAGGCTGACATTATGTTTTACAGGTCTTGCATCCTAAATCTGTTGAGCATTTGATTACATAATAGGTTATCTTTTTAGAAGATGCTCTACAGCAAAACTACCTGCCACACGTGGCACAATAAACCCCAACACAAACCAAAGCTCCTGACTAACATATTACTACATTATTACCTCTACTGTTACCAGAGGCTTCATTAACGTTACATAGTGGATTTGGGCGGGACTTTGTGTGGTGGGGGGTGTATTATGTCAGGTGACATAATACACCCCCTGGTGGCCATGGTAGAGCACCACACTAAGAGTGTGTCCATGTGCTTTTCTGACGGCATTTTCAGACCAAATGTGCAAGAGCCAGTAGTTTGAGCAGCACGAAAAAAACAGTTTAGTGGAATACTCCAGACCTGTTTCCAGTTGGGATTTTACGCAACTAATTAGCAAGAGCACATGTTTCCAAGAAAATGTAAGGCCACTTACATTTTCTTCGATAAACATAATGGGGAAATATTGTTAATTAACGTAAAACTATTGATATTGAATCTTACCATACTATATTTGCTATCAGAGCGCCAGGCCTGGGTCACATGCTGCGTTTTTTACTGCATGGTTGGGCACTGCAGTGCCTATGAAACAGGGTTTTAATAGACTGTTGAAGTTACATCGCTAGTGCCAACTTTTAAGGATGCGGAGGCAGTTTACACCTGGCGTTGCTAACCGACCATAGCCCACTGTATCTTTGACATCTATCTGATCTTATTTCAGGTGTTGTTTTTAAGTGTGCATCAACAGATTTTCTGTGGAAAGTAGGGTTTTCACCTAGGAAATTCTGTCTCTGTCTCTGCTCCGCCTGTGTGTGTGTGCGTGCGTGTGTGCGTGCGCGTGGACCATGAGAGCAGAGGATACTAAAATGATTGTGTGAACTTTTAGCAGCGGCACGCATAGAATCTAGGAGAAACAGTGGACAGGTCGTAAAGCTGTGGGTAGTCCTGCACTAAAATATATTTACAGAAGAAGAGATATCTGCCGGCTGTGATAAGTTGTTCCTCGCTACATGACATTACGTGACAAGAACAGATGTTTTACTTGGCAAATATCAGACAAACACTTCAGTACTGAACCGGAGACCGTTCAAATTCACTTGCCTTACCAATGGACCATGCCAGATAAAAGTTGGTTCATGTCTAAGGAATAAGTGAGGATGTTAACCTAGCTCAGCAGCTAGCCTGGCTCAGGACAAAGTGAGAAAAAAGAGTGTTTAAACTCACTAATGAACGCATTTTTTAATCTGTATACAAAATGTGTCTGGTGTGAGATGTATACGGGCGGAAGGTTAATGTGTTTCTCATCAAGAAATATTTCCATCAAATAACTCAAAACAACATTTTTACATTTGTGTTTGGATACAGATTAAACCAGCACCATACAACATGAGAGCTTACTCTCAGAGGAATTTAGGTGTATTTTATGATCTTTGCACATAGCCAGGCTAGCTGTTTCCCCCTGCTTCCAGTCTTTATGCTAAGCTAGGCTAACCAGATTCTGACTCCAGATCATACTTAACACAGAAATGAGACTTATATCCATCTGAACATCTCACTCTTTTTATGTGTTGACCTATTCCTCTTATTAAACCGTGTTTAATCTTAAAACCTTTCTCTGAGTCACAATATTACGTTTGGAGACAAATCTACATTGTTGTTTTTTACCTCTGTCTGGCCTGGCTATTAAACATTTGATTATGATGTACACACTTCTATTTCATCCATAAACTTCCTGATGTTAGTTGTCAGACTATCTCCCGGCTCTCTCCTCAGGCAGTCCAGCCTTCCTCTGATTTTTCCCTTGGTTTCCACTGTGGACAGGTGTATCCTTGTGTCCTGAGTCATTCTGCTGTCTGGAGTAGCGCTTGCACTTGCAGGAGGTCACCACAGTTATCTTGTAGGTCCTAGCGCTACCATCCTGGCACTGCAGCCGGATCCGCTGAGTCCTGGTCCGGTCAATGACGCAACGCCACTCCTGGGCGTCGCGGCGGCTCCAGTACCTCCCGGTGTAACCCCCACCCCCGATCCAGTTGGGCAGCAGGTGGGCTGGCAGACACTCCCCAGCACACACTAGCTCCTTGATGGGGTTGACGCTGGTGCACTGGCCATCAGAGATGTACTTTGTGGCCCTCAGCTCCCTGCAGCCCACCTGGCTCTGGTCTGGGCCTGAGAAATGAGATCTGAGTTAGATATATGTCAGCTCCTCTATCTGTTTACATTACTGTTCAGGTCTACTTCTTGGAAACAGAGGTGGCAACTCTAAACTGTGAGTCAGTTGGACTCTTGTCTAAATTGTAATTGTCATATAAAACTCGGCACTCCACTGAGTGCAAAGGAGATTCAGCTTCAGGTCTAATGATATATGCTATGCATTATTTTTGGGGGAGTTGACTGGTAGAAGTCAGGATACCTGAGCCTCTGCTGCATCCTTTTTGATTTGCATCCATACATTTCTGCTCACAACAGTCATGCCAAATGTTCCCAATCCCAACATGCTGTAGGCCACGTTACACTTACATAATGCTGAACGCTTACTAATCATATTTTGCAACTAGTGCACGTTAGGAAACCATATTTCCAAAAACAACGAGATCAAATGTGTGCGTTTTGAAAATCCAGCTGTTACTCCTGCCACTCATATCACCACACTACGAGAGAATAACCTATTGACTCAATCTGAAACGCATGTGTCAAGCTTTAATGTGAAAGACAAAACAAAAGTTGAAACGATGTAAATATACTGTAAGTGCACCGTGCGTAACCGCTTGGACTCACCATTACGCACAGGATCAGCCAGCCGTCTCCCGCCGTTCCTCGCCTGGTTCGTGTCTTCATTAACCGGCTCCTCTCGAGTATCGTGGACCAGCTGAATACTATCTGACTCTGTGGCGTTGTTCTGGACAGCTGAGCTGCTCCTGCGCAGCAGCAGCAGAAGCGCGAGGAGCTGGAGTCCGCTGGCAGCACGGGGCATGACTGCACCTGACTGATCTGAGAAAGACTAACCTGCTGCAGCAGCTGCTTTGCTTTATATATCCTCTGCTGTCTGAACAAGACACACCCACCCGAACAACAGCCTGCACTGGGATCAGCAACTTCAGGATCAGGCCATCAGTAGCATTCAGGATGTAGACGGCCAGCAGCTTCTCTCCAATAAAATGTAAGTGCTGTTGATTCAAATGTTATCAACAGCCCTTACAATCATCTTCCAACTATTATTTTGAAAATAAACAAGATACACTGTTCCCAAACATAATCTCATCCTTTTGCCAAATTATAATGTTACTTTCTCAGAAAAGAGAAAAAACATTTTGTTCGTCCGCTTATTCCCTATTTTCTCTCACACATGTATAAAATAAATAAACACAGGACATATTTTTCTATCCTATTAATTCAATTCAATTTCTTTTTCGATTCAATTTATTTTTGTCTCGCCCAAAAATTACAAATTACAAATTTGCCTCAGAGGGCTTTGCAATCTGTACACATACGACGTCCTCAGTCCCAGAACAGAGGAGGGATCCTCTATCAGGATGGACAGAAGTGTGATAGATGTTATGTGTACAGAATGAACAGCATAACAGAGTTACAACACATTCAATGCATATGACAGAACCACGGCAGGAGGCAAGACCATGATCCATAATAATAATATAACCACTATCCACAGAAACCTGCGAGGCGAGAAAGCAGAAAGACTCTGGGGAAGAAGCAAAGTCAGTAACGTGCATTAAACCTGAGCCAGCCCTAACTATAAACCTGAGCCAGCCCTAACTATAAACCTGAGCCAGCCCTAACTATAAACCTGAGCCAGCCCTAACTATTTTGGATAGCCTCCATATAACTTGAGTTTACCATTGTAGCCCTGGTGTAATAAGTTAGGTATATATATAGTGTGTGTGTGTGTGTGTGTGTGTTTTATATTATAGTGAATATTATTATATGATATATATATATATATTATTATATTACACTGAATATTATTATATGATATGTATATACATTATTATACTGACTATTATTATATGATTGATATATGATTGATATATATATATATATA